AGCTACACCAGTATTGTGTTTATTTGCCATCTGTATGTCTCTTTTGGTTGAGTGACTATTAATTTTTTAACAAATTTTGAAAGTTGAGTTCTTTGTTTTATTAGTGTGATTTGGGAGTCTTCATATATTCTGGATACAAATTCTTTATCAGATATGTGACTTGCACATACTTTATTCCCCAGTCTGTGGTTTAACTTGTATTCTTTCAACGTCTCTTTGGAGCAGTAGGCGCTTTTAATTTTGGTGAAATGTAACTTATCCATTATTTTTTTTATTATAGATCATGCTTTTGGTGGACTCTTTGCTTAACCCAAGGTCATGAAGGTTTTTTTTCTTCCAGAAGTTTTCTGTGTTTACATTTTTTTTAGGTCTGTGGGTTTTTAAAATTTTTTTTATTTTTATTTAATCTTCACCCATTGATTTTTAGAGAGAGAGGAAGGGGAGAGAGAAAGAAAGAGAGAGAGAGAGAGAGAGGTATCCATGTGAGAGAGAAACATCAGTTGGTTGCCTCCCCTATGTACCCTGACTGGGGATCAAAAGTGCAAATTAGATACATGTCCTGACTGGGAATTGAACCCATAAATAACCTTTTGGTGTACTGGATGGTGCTCCAACCAACTGAGCCACACCGGTGAAAGCTGTGAATATTTTGTGTTAACATTTGTACATAGTGCAAAATGTAAATTAAAAATTGTATCTATAGAGATATCCAATTACACCAGCATCATTTGTTCAGTTCCACTAAATTGCCTTTGCAACTTTGTTCAAAAACTGTTTCCTATATAAGTATATTTCTATTACTGGACTTTATTCTGTTCCATTAATTTATGCTTATTCTTTCTCAAATATTACAGTAATTTTATAATCTTGAAATCTATTAATGTGCATCCTTCCATTTTGTTGTTCTTTTTCTGAATTGCTTTGGCTACTCTAGTTTCTTTGCCCGTCTCTTAGGTTTTAATAGTAGAAAACTCATGGGATGGTAGGTGGCTTCATTCAGCCTCTACTTTTACTCCCAGGAGAGTGAAGGTAATCAGTTTATATCTTTTGTTATGCCAGGTAGCCTGTTCTCTCAGCTGACTAGCTATTGTAAAATAGGAAGAATCTGGCTGGTTCGGTCCTCTTTATCCTTTTCTTGATGTATCCTCCCAGTATTTTTCAATTGGACAAAACATTGACTTTCTTTTTCTGTTTGTAAATATATTTTAAGCCTTTAGTAATTGATGTGGTTGTTCTTAAGATCTGCAGGTCTCCCCAGTGTATTACTCTTAATTAAAAAAATTTATTGAATTCATTGAAAGATCAAGAGTGGAAATGTATTTGGAGTAAAAGAACGAAATTTGGACTGATGTTTGTTTGAGCACTTAAATCCTAGAGATACATATTGGACTCACTTAAAATTCAAGGCCAAGATTGTAAATTAAGCTGCTTTTAAAAGGAGCATCGTAGATAGGAGATGGCAATTAGAAAAATTAAAAAATGACCCTTTTTTCCGAATGGAAAGAGGTATAATAAAAGTTATTGCAAGAGTCTTAACCCAAACCAGATTTAGCAGTGTTTTCTCTTCCTTCCCCCTTTCTCTCTCTTCTCTCTTCCCAGTTTTAATAAAATTCTTGGGGATTAAACTGTTTAACAGAAATACTTAAATATCATTAAGTATTTAATGACAGTATAATTTTTTTTTTAGTTTTCCTAACACTGACACCTAGTTTGTTTAATTAATCTGGGGCTAATTTTTTTTATTTCCATAAAATAGAATCAAAAAGACTTCATTCATATGAACATGTAGTCTTCTTGTAGTTTAAGACATTTCCTTTCATATAATAAGAACAGTTTGTGCTACATCAATGTAACCAGGGAGCCAAGGAAAGTGGTCTGGAATGTGCATGTGAACAATGATGACTTCACTGTGCTAGTTAGTGGGGGAGTAGATGCCATTGAGTGAGCATGTGCACTGTGTGGCTGTTACATTCAGAATAACTGAGTATAACAATTAATCTGCATCAAAATTTGTGTTAAGCTTGAACATTCTTCCATGGAAACTATTTGGATGATTGAAAAGGTTGCAGCTATGGGCAACTGGTGATTGGCAGCTTCGTCATGACAGTGTGCCCACTTACGCATCATGTCTCTTACAGAGTTTTTGGCAAAACATCAAATCACCCAGGTGACTCAGCCCCACTACAGCCGCAATTTGGTGCCCTGTGACTTCAGGCTTTAAAAAAAAAACTAAAATTTCCTTTGAAAGGGAAGAGATTTCAGACTATCAGTGAGATTTAGGAAAATAGAATGGGGCAGCTGATGGCGATTGGGAGAAATGTGTGAGGTCCCAAGGTGCCTACTTTGAAGGGGACTGAGGTGTCATTGTCCTATGTACAGTGTTTCTTGTATCTTCTTCAAGAAATGTCTCCATTTTTCCTATTAAATGGCTGGATACCTTCTGGATATGTGTGTATGTGTGTATCTTGCCTTTTTCATGTTCTTGGGTGAAAATCTTTAAATTAGAGAACTCTGAATGTAGTATATGATGATTTTAGTTTAAAAGTTTACATCTTGGGGAAAATAGCTAGATTTTAAAATTTCAAATGCATTTTTTTTAACTTCAGATAGTACTGATGTAAAACCATCTACTTTTTCACTTTTCAGACACAAGGTGGTGTACTATACCTACAGTCTGAAGTTCTGTTGGTGACATTCTTCAACAGCCTGATAAAACCTAATTTAAGATAAAACAGAACATTATAAAAGTTTACTTTGGTCACTAATATTAATTTTTTATGAAAGCAGTTTTTAAGTTATACATTTTACTGCATTATTATTAAAGATTTTTGTTTGAAATAATTTGTCATAGTAAAATGTCACAAGAATAAGAGTAGTACAAGAAACTTCCGTATACCCTTTACCTAGATTGACCTATCATTAGTATTTTATTCTGTTTGCACACCTCTGTGTGTGTGCGTGTGTGTGTTTCAAACATCTGAGGGTGAGTTACATACCTCAAGACACTTTATCACTCAATATTACATTGTGCTTTTCCTCAGCATGGTGATGTTCTGTTTTATATAACCACAATACAGTGTAGCTTCAGTAATTTAACGTTGATACAATACTTTCATCTAATCTCCCATTGGTATTTTGACTTAGTAAAGTCCTTACACTGTTTTCCCTTCTCTAGTTCAGTACTCTCAAGTCAAATCAAACATTTAATTGTCACGGCTCCTTTAACCTGAGTATCTCCACAGCCTCTCTTTGTCTTTTATAACATTGGCATTTAACTCCTCTCTCCCCTTTTGATAGAACATTACTCATTTCCATTTTGGGTTTTTCTGTTGATATAACCTCATAATACAGGTTTTACATTCTCACTAAAACATCATATGGGTGATGTGTCTTTCTTAGGGTATTTCATATGCTCATGGTCCTTTTTTAACAGTGATGTTACATTACATTTTTGCTCAAATCATTTTTTTGTAAATGTAGTTGTATATGTTTAGGAGAAGAATTGACTGTTCATTCAGGATGTATAAGGTCAAACATTTTCTCTTAAAGAAAGATACTTGGATTAGTGCTATCAAGTAGGTTAAAATCTAATTTGACTATAAGGCTTGAGGTAGCACATTTTAACTTTATTCTTTAGAAAGCTTTTAATGTGGTATGTTGGCATTCATTCTGCCCTGGATTGCTTAGAAGTATTGTCAATGTCCTCCTGGGGATCGAGGAGCCATTCCAGTGAAAGAAAAATACCTGAGTTGTTGGCATTAGACAGAAAGAAATACATAATACAGAGCTATCTCAATTATAAGTCTCTTAGATATTATAATTAATACCAAATTTAGATTATTTTGTAACATCTATTTGAGTTCATGCTTGTATTAGTAGGCATGTATTAGTAGAGTTTTAATATAGAACAAACAATAAGTTCCAAATATGTTAAGTGGAAATAATATTATAAATTTCTCACTGAAATGATTCTGTCTTCATCTTTTGGTTATTAAGGAATTGTTATTAAGTGGATAGAGATAGTTTTGTCAGCCCTGAGCAGCATGGCTCAGTAGGTTGAGTGTCATTCCACAAAGTGAAAGGTTGCAGGTTGGATTCCCGCTCAGTGCATATGTGTGGGTTGCGGGCCCAGTGCCTGGTTGGTTAGGGTGCATGAAAGAGACATCCAGTTGACGTATCTCTTGCACATTGATGTTTCTCTCCCTCTCTCCCCCGTCCTTTCCCCTCTCTAAATATAAATAAATTAAACCTTAAAAAAATAGTTTTGCTAGTAGGGAAATTTCCTAAATAATTTTAGTATGTTAATTTTAGGATACGTATGTATAAAAATTCTCAGAAGGTAATGGATATTTATTTGAAAGAAAATAATCATTTTGACTATTTGAAATTAATTACATTGACTATTGCTGAAAACTAGTATCAATATTAAGATGGTAATAATACACTCTAATAAAGAACATTAGTTCAGTGTGAAGCTGTGTTGCAGAACATGGTAAGTCAAAACTTTTTTAGCACATGCTCTTGAACTTAATCTATTTACTTTGATTCTATATGTATGTGACATATAAAATATGAATTATCCCATGTACTGTAGACATCAAAGCATTTGAGATACAAAATTAGATGAATGTAAAATAGTTTTCAAAGTACCCATTAAATTTTAACAATTGAAGTTGAAAAATTATTGGATTTATCTGTGATTTCTCCCATTAGCTACTATGATGGATATTGGAAGGGAATAAAAATTACCTCCATATTTCTTTCAGGTTTGCCCTTGATTTTACAAAGTACACTGCTTAAATTGGTAGTAGTTTATAGTTGCTGTTTCTGACACTTGTATCCATGTTTCTGAGTTTCCATAGTGGACTAAATGGTACCCTGGGGGCTTAGAAGAATTCAGTGTGTCTTCCCAAGTGTCTAACTTAATTCTTGAATATGGAGCTGTAAATATTATCTAATTAAATGTTGTTTTAAAAATTCCTTTTATTTTTATTCCTCAGACAAGATATCTGTGTAGATTCTACTTCATCCCTGAGAGAGAACAAGCAACCTGAAGGTTTGGAAGTAAAACAAGGTATGAATCAAAAGCTTAAGTTTTATGTAACATTTACCTGAAGATTATAAGCATTTACCAATAATAAATTTTCACAATGTTTCAGCTCCTCATTTTACAGATAAGAGGGAAAAAATTATCTTATCCAAAGTCTAAAGAGTAAAGGCTACCTCCTGCATTTGATGAGTCCTTTGGCCATTGGAGTAGTTGGTTCTGCCTTAGTGATGTATGGTTGCAGGTGCCGTCAGAAGGTCGTCATCTTAAATAGTTTTAATTTGGAATCTTTATTATGTATCCTTAGCAGTAAGATATAGAAATATGTTAACTGGGTAGCTTTGGGTTGTATGTGGAAAAAATAAGTATTATGGGATAACTTTCTTTTTTCCTGTTGCGGAGATGGTTTGTCCTTGTTTACTTCCTTATGTGTTGTTTTCTATAAATCAGTAGTTTTTAGTATTACCATTTACTAGAAGTGGCAGGTTGTGATTTATTCAAGCCACGTAAATCAATAGGGCTAATTTTTTAGGTGTATTTTTTGTTTGTTTCTTCACATCCTAGCTGAGGAAATTGAAAGTAAAATAAGTTTTTATTAGTTACTCAAGAAACACATTATTCCTTTTTCCTGTGAAAATTATTATGGAGCAGTGATGACCTGTTGCAGCCAAGAGATTTGTTGTTTATGATATAGGTAACTAATCTTTGATAACTTAGAATAGTTTCTCTACAACTTGAGTTATAGAAACTTATTTGGTAGAGAGGAGCAGGTTATCAGTTTATTTAGGCAGAATTTTTTTTAACTGTGGTCTATGTCACTAATGCTTAATTAACAAAGTGAAAAAAAGTCAAATAATTTTGTGCTTTATCCAGCTTATATATACAGAGAACAAAGTCTAGATATTCTGTAATTCTAACTTACATACTATTGGGTTTATAAATATTTCTGATGGTCCTGAGAATTCCAGTGATTTCAGAAGTTCTGTTTTGTTAGCCTCCTAGCCAGCCAGATAAAGTTACATCTTTGTATTCATGTTACTTCAGAGCACCCTCCACAGACAGAAACTCTGATTCGTAGTTTTCATTTACATTGATTTATCACATATAAGCACTACTGAGCACACATCATTTTTATAAAATATAGTCCTAGTCTTAGAGCTCTTGTATCATGTGTATGTATAACTGGACAACGTTTCTGCCTTTATTTCCATTCTTTGTGTGAAATGAACAGGCCGTGTAGATCATGCCACTAGAATATCTGCGGAGAGAAGAATGTTAGGTAAAGGACAGAAAAGGGCTAGAATGGACAGGCTGCTCATAGTTCCTAGAGAAAAGGGAACAGAGACCTCATTGTGCAGAGTACCTAGTGCTGCCCCGTAAAGGAAGATCTTGTCTGCTCCCATGTTCAGGCACCGGCAGCTCTTTAGAACTCCCTTCCCAATGTCAACAGCCTGTTCTGCTTTGATTTTTCTTTTGGTAACTTAAGTAATTTGAAAACCAACCATAGAGGCAAAGACAGAGAGAAAAAGGACTCAGAGTAGCCAGATATGACAAAGCTTTTATACGTAGAAGGTTTTAGACCACTTTTAGGTTCTCACTCAGGCATCAGAACTGTCAGAAACACACTGTCAGTAAGTGACTGTAAGCAGAGGTGAGAAAATATAAGAACAAAGCACAGCAGTACCATTATACAGTACAGTTCTTGTTGTGACTTTGTAGAAAATGGTTAAATTAAGTTTCAACTCTTTTTTTTACAGAAAACAGGGAAATATTTAGTAAAGTGTTTTAGAAAAATATCTGTGAAAAATGGTTAAAATATAAAATGTTTTATTGCATAACAGGATAAACATAAATTATCTAGATGATTCAATTATGCAGAACATGTTCCAGATAAATATTTGTATAGCTGAAATATGAACCAGCTAGCAAGTAACTTGCTTGGAAATAGGAATTCTGGTAGGCTCAGTAAAAATTATTGCCTTTAGCCCTGGCTGGTGTTGCTCAGTGGATTGAGTGCCAGCCTGTGAACCTAAAGGCCACCAGGTTGATTCCCAGTCAGGACACATGCTTGCAGACCAAGTGCTAGAGGCAGCTTATCAGTGTTTCTCTCCCTCTCTTTCTCCCTCCCTTCCTTACTCTAAAAATAAATAAATAAAGTCTAAAAAAATACTATTGTCTTTTTTTCTAAATGAATTAAAAATGGCCTATTCTTAATATGCAAAACTTTTAAAATTGATTTAATATTCTCTTTTTTTTTCTCATAGCAAGCTATTCTTGCTCATAGTGAGCTCAGTGAAAACAGAATATAATACTCCTTGTGAATGCATTGTCATTTTATTTAATGGCTTGGTCGTTTAAGAAAATTCACTGAAGCTTACTTAGTAAAGTAACCCTTTGTTCAGTAGACCAAAATATAAAGCAGCACTAAATTTTCTCTGCTCTTTCAGAATAAAATAAATCTTACCCGATGACCTATGAATGGTGTATGATGCTGACAGGTTATTTAAATTACATTTTCAGTTTTTATTTTCTAAAACACTCAAATATTGATAAATATTAACTGTGAGTTAAATTGAAATTGGCATTTCTTGGTTTAGCTGGTTTCATTCATCTTGTTGATAGTAAATAACATTTTTGAAACTGGTTGTGCTGACAATGAGTATCAGATTGTATACTAACTTCTATCACACTTTAGTAATGGATTAATACCTGAAGATTTACCTTGTTGTGCAAACATTATTTAAATATAAGTATAATCTACTGGTTGGTTGATTGATTGTAGTTAAACAGAAATTCTTCTGTTGGGCTTACTTTCCTGAGTCGTTCACTTTTAGCAAGAGAGCAGTTGTAGAAGAAGCACCAAGTACAGCTTTGCTCTTCATCTTAGCCCAGCTGTGTTTGTGAGCACATGCATGTGCACATATGCAAGCCTGAGATCTTGTGTTAGTTTCTAGATGATTGGAAGGCTTGTGTTACTGAAAAGGTTTAGCTCAGTTATTTGTTTCTTTTTAATTGTATTTTTCCATTACCATTTATTTCCCTTACACCTTCCTTGCCCCCAAATAGTCCATGTCCATGAGTCCTTTTTCTGTTTGTTTGATTCCTTCCATGCCCTAACTGCCCTCCCCAACCAGAGCTGTCAGTCTGCTCTCTGAGTCTGTCTCTGTTTTTCTTGTTAGTGCAGTTTTTTCACTAGATTCCACATATGAGTGAAAACATACGGTATTTGTCTTTCTCTGACTGGCTTATTTCTTTTAGCATAGTGTTCTCCAGGTCTATCTGTACTGTGTACTGTTGCAAAGGGTAAAATTTCCTTCTTTTTTTTACAGCCGAGTAGTATTCCACTTTGTAAATGTCCCATAGTTCCTTTATCCACTCATCTACTGATGGACACTTGGGCAGCTTCCATATCTTAGCTATTGTAAATAATGCTGCAGTGGAGATAAGAGTGCTTATGTTCTTTCCACTTAGTATTTTGGGTTTCTTTGGATATATTCCTAGATGTGGAATCACTAGGACAAAAGATAGATTCATTTTTAACTTTTTTTAAAAGATTTTATTTATCTTTAGAGAGGAAGGGAAAAAGAGAAGGAAAGAAACATCAATGTGTGGTTGCCTCTCGTGAGTCCCCTGCTAGGAACTGGCCTGAAACCCAGGCATGTGCCCTGACTGGGAATCTAACTGCGATCGTGGGGTTCTCAGGCCCGCGCTCAATCCACTGAGCTACACCAGCCAGGGCCTATTTTTAACTTCTTGAGATACCTCCATACTGCTATCCACAGTGGCTGTACTAATCTGCATTCCAACCAACAGTGCAAAAAAGTTCCCCTTTCTCCACATCCTTGCCAGCATTTGTTTATTGATTTATTGGTGATAGCTATTCATTTAAAATAATAATGATTTTTATAATTTTTAAAAATTTAGTTATTTGTGCTATAGTTTACCAAATGAAAACTACTATTTGTCAAAGATATTAAATTTGTAGAAAATATTTTTAAAATATCAGATCTTTGCTAATGCTCATGAGTTTTTCTATACATGTATCTGTAAACAAATTAGCTTTATTCAGTAATATTAAAATAAGTCTATTTAAATTGTTGCTTTATAGTTTACAACTAGGGGATATGTGTAATTTTGAAATTATTTTCCTTTGTAACTTCAAGAATTAAGCTCTTGTGTTTGCATTCCTTCTTAGAAATTTTTAGGAGAAGTTTTTTAAACTGTAAATAAGAAATAACCTAAGTTAAATGTGGGTATTTAGGTTGAAGATAAAAGTTGAGGTCTCTTGAAAATATTTGAAGGGCTGTCAAATGGATGAGTCATTAGGCTTGCTTTTTGTTGCCTTTGAGAATAAAAATAGGACCAGCAGATAAAGTTATCATTTGACTATTTCAAAAAATCTCAAGGAACAAAATGCAATAGGCTGCCTTCTGAAATATGTTCCTACTGCTAAAGGTGATTGAACACGTTACACAGATGGCCACTTGGTGGCACTGTTGGAGAGCTGATTCAAGCAATGTTTGGCTGTTTGGCCTTGATCTTGAAGTTCCTTTCTAGCTGTCACATTTTGCAAATACCAGTGCCTAGTGCAGTGTCTTCCCTTGAGAAGAGTGCTTAATAACTCTTTTCTTAGATTGTTTAGTGGAACTAGAATCAAATATACAACTTTTTTATCACTATTTTTTAAATTCTATTAGTACAGTAGAAGACTTTAGTCTTTAAGCCATATGATGGTTCCTTGAAAGGCATACGTTTGAATATAATCATTAAAAAAAAGTACATAACCCTGTGGTATATAAAATGATCAAAATCAATAAGATGTTTACTACATTTTACTCTGAATGTTCTACAATACCTTTCTTAGGCAGAGTTTTGCTTTACTTAGGCTCAAATTTTGCCACTTTTTCTTTTTCTATTGAGATAACATTGGTTATAACAGTGATTATCAACCTTTTTCATCTGATGACACACATGAACTAATTACTAAAATTCTGCAGCACACCAGATGTGACAAAAATAGGCATACT